CCGCATTCACTTCAGACAGCAAGACAGCTGGATAGAGTAAACGAAATAATAGCTAAATTAAAAGTTTTGGCCTGGTTTCTACTCTTTTCTGGGGTAAAGGCAGTGCTCCAATCGAGTAGCCACTCCCATCTCATTTATACTGAGATTTCTTATCCTGTGTGAATTGGTCATAAACATTACAGATGTCCTGCAGTAAAATTACATCCCAAGTGGTCCCCAAAGAAAACTACTTTTCCAGTTTTACTACAACTTCACTATGATCAACATTAAATATGAAAAAACCTAAGATGACTTGTAGATAAATGAAGATAAGGCAATTCACATTGTCGGCATCTCAAACTCTGGTTCCCATCGCCACCACGGTAAAGAGTTTCTCTAAATTGCACCATTTTACATCAAAATGACTTTCGCTTACATATCAACATCAAAATTATGCAGAAATTTTGCTTGGACCCTCCAGCAGGTCACAGGCATTTAAGTTAAGGCATTTTTTTTATAAGGAGGTAATAAGTAATGCATGTAATTAATCATAGTGACACATCTACTAAGATAATTCATAGTTAGTGTATACAGCTATATACATTATCAGTATACACTGTAAAAAATGTGGGAAAAACCAAGTACAGTTGCATTGAAAAGTTTGAACACACTTCTGCATGTTTGTGGAGAATGCACAATTACTGTTTATTCACTGAATTTACCATAGTAGGGAAATAACATGTAGCCTGTGCAAAGGTTTTAGCACATTTTATATATGTGGAAAAAAACATGTTAAACTCATCAAATAAATAGAAACTGTTCTCTTAAATTTGCAGAAAAATGCCGTACTTAAGTATATTCTCTGTGGAAGGTGGGTTAACTTATTCTCACTTAGAATCAACAAAATATGTAACTAGACGAATGGTGTTCCAAATCTTGCATGCGACAGTATATTTATTAATCTATTTATTCATTCATGGGTTCAGTGTCACAGATGACATTTTTGTAACCCTTTAACTGTGTGAAGCCACTTGAATTTTTTATTCAAATTTTTTAATAGAGTTTTTTTTTACTTGATATAATGACAAAATTCAGACCAAGGCAACTTGTTTGTCTGCTGCTCCAGTTCATGTTCAGTCACCTGCTTCAATCTGAACACGCATCTAAGCTCAAGATGTAAAGAATAGGAGAGCATGGGCTTTTCCCTCATGTTTTAAAATGGTCCTGATCAGACTAATTCTAGATTTCTAATTACATCATTTAAAAATATTGATGTGTGTTTTTGTGTTTTTTTCACTGGTTAAAAAAAATAATAATAATAAAACCACAAAGGCCAAAAAAATAGTTTAAACATATTTGTCAGTAATGTACTTTCTTTTTTCAAAGAAAACTGCATTTGAACCGATTTGCTGTGCAATACTGCTATCAATATTAAATAAATGACAACTATTTGTACAGTGAAAAATATTTACAGTAATGATCTATGAATTTACTGTAAATGTGCCAGGAAATTCCTGTTAATTTGCCTTGTCTGGGATATTACTGTAAACCAGTGCACTGCACTAAATGTCTTTTACAGTAGGATCCTGTAAAATAACAAACCACTATTTTATTCTAAAATAAGCACTGAAAATTTTCAGCAATTGTTTTTCAGTGTCAGAGGTTTTAATGAAGACATCAAGTTTGACTGTCCCACCTCTCAGAAGTCTTACCACTGAATATAAGTAAATATAAGTGGACAATTTGGTTACAGACAAAACAAGAAACCAACCAAAAAAAAAACAAAAAAAAAACCCCACAAATTTCCTAACTTGTGAGATGCCTAAGATTTTTTTTTCTATACAGCCATTGCAAAGATTTGTTGAATTCCAACTGCCAACACATTGAAATTTTAACTTAATGGAGTGTTAGACTAACCTGATATTGGATGAAAACTGCAAATAATAGTCTAGTAGAGAGGTCTGTACATGTATTTATTTTCGTACAGTAACTATTGTTGAATTGATTTGAATTGAATTGTTTATTTGTATTTATTCTGGTCATGTTTTTCCAAACAAATAAACAATTTTAAATATAATCTTGTCATGTGGTCTCAGACTTTTGCACAGTTCTGTGTTTGTTCAGAAATCTATAGCTCACACATACCTGAGATCAGCAGTGCTAGAAATAAACTCTTGTCCATGGTTCAAATCCTGGTGGCTCTTCTGTCTCGTAGAGCTTTGTCTGTCCAGCAGTGCTTCAGCAAATCTACAGGCTCATTTGTCATTCTTATCTGATTTCATTAGGAATGGATTTGAATAGTCCTTGAGACTGTCCTTCATATAATTTGAATATCTTTGAAAGTAAAATGAAGTCTTTAATCATAGATGAGTTTCAGTGTTGATTTCTATATGAAACTTACTTCTCAGGCTTTGACTACAAACAAACCAGTACAGCAAAAAAGATGTGTTGCTTAATTAAACCTCTACTTGAACGTTAACAGAACAATCTGTCTTATATTGTTTTGAACTAAACATTTTAAGGCAGCCTGATATTTAATTATCCAGAGATTAATTATGCAAAATTTATATATGTATATTATGTATATTTTATAGACACAAAGATATCGTTCAAAGTTACCCTGGTGACCTTTTCACTTGATTTTACGTGGGGGTGGTGGGACGTGAAACATATTATTGGTTAATCAGTGACATTTATCAAAACTCAGAACTTATATATATGACAAAAGTCTTTATATATATATACACACACCAATCAGGCATAACATTATGACCACCTCCTTGTTTCTACGCTCATTGTCCATTTTATCAGCTCCACTTACTATATAGGAGAGCAAGTACTATTTGGGTGGTGGATCATTCTCAGCACTGCAGTAACACTGATGTGGTGGTGGTGGTGTGTTAGTGTGTGTTGCGCTGGTCTGAGCGGATCAGACACAGCAGTGCTGCTGGAGTTGCTGCTCCAAATAAAGTGAAAAACAACTGAATTCAGAGGAGTATGAATAAATTGTAGATACACAGTAAATTGAAAGTGTCCTGATAATCTGCTGAATGTATTCAGCTGCTCCATCATTGACATGTTGTCAATATGTTACTGAGAGTCTGCTGAGTCTTTACTTCTTCTAAAAAGGACCTCTCAAAATGAATTATTACCAAATTAAATAAGAGCGGCCCAAGGATTGAACCCTGAGGGACACCACCGGTCACTTACACACTCTCAGAAGCATTATTTTCTATTTTGACAAAGTAGTTCCTTCCTTAGAGGTATGAACTGAACCATTTTAGGACAATTCCTGAGATTCTAACCCAGTTCTCAGGTCTATCTATGACAATTTTATGGTCAATAGTATTAAATGCAGCACTGAGATTAAACAGTAGTAGAACAGATATTTTTTTCCAAAATCTGATTTTATATAAGTGTCACTAATAGCCTTAATTAGAGTGGCCTCAGTACTATGATTAGGCTGGAATCCTGACTGAAATCTGGCTATTCAAGGACAAAGCCAATAAGTGGCTTGAAGACGATTTTCTCAATGATCTTTCCAATGAAGGATAAATTTGAGTAGGTCTGCAGTTACATAATAGTAGTAATCTAGTACATCAAGTGTTGCTTCTAGATTTTTCTTTAAGAGGAGCTTCACGACTGCAATTTTTAAAGTGTTAGGAGAAGCGCCTGACATGAGTGAGGTGTTTACTATCTGAAGTGTGGCCACTGATATTAAGTGAAACACATTCTCTAAAAAGTTGCTCGGTAATGTGTTAAGACTACAAGTGGGCAAATTGAGATGGCTTACTGTATCAGTTAAAATTTCATTATTAATAACACTAAAGTGAGAGATTTTAACCATGATATCTTCATGTGGTGATAGAGAACACAGACTCATTGGAGGAATAAGAGGTACTAATGGCTTGTGTGATATTATGGGTTTTAGCGTTAAAGTATACAAATTTATTGCATCTCTCAGCTGATATTAATTCAGGGGCCATATATGTAGTAGAGTTTGGTAACCATGGTAAAGACTATTTGTAATCAATCTAATTTACTACTGTTAACATTATTATTGATAATGCTAGAGGAAAAAGGATTGTCTAGCGCTGCACTTTACTGTATTGTAATCATGCAGCCTATCTTTGAAGATTTATTTTGGATCTGAAACTTGGTTTATGCAATTTGCATTCAGTCTTCCTACATTCTCTTGTTGAACTGAGTTCAACTGCAGTAGCATTCCTTAATGGTGCTTTCTGTTGGTGTGAAGTAGTTTTAACTTTAACTCATGCAATCTTAAGCTACAACACTAACAGTTTTTTTAAGTTGAAGTTATATAGCAAAGCATCAACAGAATCAGAAGAATTGCATGGGGCAAAGCACATTTTTGTGCTGATATGCTGAGACTCTTTGAGATAATCACATCTAAAGAGTGACCATGACAGTGTGTGCTCCCAGTCACATGCTGAGCGTGTCCAAAAGGTTCCAGTATGGCACAATAAGGAGTTCCCTAGCATAACTGTCTTTGATTGTCTATATACATATATATAGTGTGTGTGTGTGTGTGTGTGTGTGTGTTACAATCACCAGCAATTTGATGAAAAAAATATTAAAATGATTGGAAATAAAATATACAGTGTCTGTAAATTCATTACTAAAATAATTAACATTGTACTTTGGAGGCCTGTAGACAATTATTAGTAATGTTCTTAGTGCCCCTTTCACAACTGCTCAGAGATACTCAAAGGATGTGAAGTCACCAAACAATAACTGCTCACATTGGAAGAAATCAAGTAGAGCAGCTATACCTCCAACTTTCTTGCCAGCACATGAGACGTTTATAAAGTTAAGTTTTGTGGAGGCATCTCAGTTAACTTGGTTGCAGTACTATGTTAATTTAACCTGTTTCTGTTAAACCATAAAACCAAGCCCATGGGCTGTAATAAAATCATTAATTACATATGACTTGTTTGTGATGATGTTAATTTACCACAGCATGAATAAGATTTCAATTTATTTAAAAATGAACATTGAATTTCAAAAGTAAAATAGATTATAAAATGTGTTAAGAAAAATGCTTTTCAGGATTACAGGAACATGAAAAAGGAAGCAAATATATAAAAAGGGATAAAAACAAAGAAAAATAATCACGGGTTATCACATCCGCAAACACACAGAACCTCACATGCAAAGGGTTAACTAAGGAGAAAGCTTATAGAAAATCAGCAGGCTAAAACTAAGAGTAGAGAGAGAGCACCCATAGGTGTCCCTATCTAACACAAACTTGGTCATATATATATATTTGTGTGTGTGTGTGTGTATGTGTGTGTGTGTGTGTGTGTGTGTGTGTGTGTGTGTGTATTTGTATATAATTATATTTTTCATATACAATTGCTGATTGATCACTACAAATCAACACTGCAGTGATCAGAGTCCTTGGGTGTTAATGCTGATGTGTCTCCAATCACAGTGGACATGTTTCTCAGTCCAAATTTCAGTCCATTTGACCTGCAGCTTTTATGTAGCCAAGCGTTTAATCCAAGTAACCTTTGAGAACATATTGGTTCTTCATGTAGGTGGAGCACCACTGATAAATGGACATTGAGCTTGCTGAGTGTTTTAAAGAGATCATTTAAAGTCCCTTTTTAACCTCTGACTTCTGCTTCCTCGTGTCATTCTTGCCAACATGAACAATGTCAGTAATGCACTAAGCTAAGAGAGTCATCCTCAAAAACAAGGGTCCCTGCTTTAGCTGCAGACTGCGGCTGTGTAACTCTACTGGGGAGCTATGACTGGCTGACAGTTCTGGTTCTTTCCGCTTTATGGTCAGTGCATTTAGGAAACTCACTGAGGCCTTGCAGTGGTTCAAATCTGTACTGCAAATAAAGTAGCAGAGACCGATATTCTGCTCTGGTTTTGTGCTGTGGTCAGTAGCAGCAGCGTTAGCATTAGCAGTAGAGGCTGTGCTTGTGGGGGTTGACGACATGACTACAGAGCAAGCACAGTGTTTGGGTTTAGCTCCAATGTAGACCTATTGCTCATATCTGCCAGCTGCACTCACATTTGTGGCTCCAGCTCCACAGTCCACTACTCCATTACTCCATTAAGCCCCCTGCCAACACTCCCACACTCTGATACTCCTCACACAGCACATGAATGCCAGTTTTTAAAGTGTGATAACAAGCTTGTTTCCAGAAAACTCTTTTTGTAGTTCGGACAGTGCATGTGTTCTGAAACCTGAAGAGGCATTTTGTAAGTTTCTTTTTTGATAGTCAGCAGGAACTTCCAGTATACTGTGTCTGTAGCAGTACTGTAAAAAGAACCAAACAAAAAGAAAAAAAAAATACACGTTTGGTTTCATAGTGCTTTTGACTATTTTGTCTCTATATACCAAGCTAAGAGCCTGTAGCTCAAAAAACTAATTCTCTTGGCCTGGTGCCAGCTCTACCTAATAAGTGACATAAGCAGCTGCTTAGGGACCCTCAGGCAAAAGAGGCGCCCTAATTCTGGATTATTACTGTACCATTATGTTGTTTAAGATTCTCAAGAGAGGAGAAAAAATCATCATGCCTCAAACAAAGAACATATGCATCTGGAGCCAAAAAACGGCAAAAATAATGGCAAACAAGCAATAATGAAATATGTCATTGTGTCATGAACCACAGAAGTTAGGTTGGGCCAGATATCGACAACCTGGGTAGTTTCAAGACCATGAGTAATGAACCCATTCAAGCATAGAGATATTCTGTTAACACGTTAACAGGTAACAGAATTTGAGAACAAGAAGTAGCCGATCTGGGGTCTAATGATTAATGTTTAACTTGGTCGCCATGGTAACGAGGGATAAAACCTAAAGTTAGCAGTGTAAGCAAGAAATACTGTGCCATGGACAGAGCCCTGGAACCAGAATGCTGAGAAGATTACCTGTAATTTAAACAGTAACTTCATGTAAACTTAAACTTTACATTTTGGCCCCCAAAAGACTAGAGCTTACACTGTTTAAATGAAAACGTCCCTGTCTTAAACACTGATATGTGAAAACATATTGTAAACAGAAATGTTGTATAAAAATTGTTAAGGGAAGATTAGATTAATTAATCCTTTCAATTTTGTACAAACGCACATTTTAATGATGCCCAGTAAATTTCAATGATCTATATCTTCATCTGTTTTGTAACCCAGTTTGCCCATGTGTTCCCCACATTGACACCACCTTTCTTTTCGGGCTGATGTTTAAGTAACATCTGAAGGTAATTTAAGGGGTGCTGAAAAGAATGGTCTGTATTTATGACCTAAAACTTATAGTCTGGCTGTGATCAGCAGTGGGCCAAAGCCATCATTCCCACCCAATTAGAGAAGGGCCTGTTGTACTTTTGTGGACTCCCACGAGATGGTGGTTCTTAGCCGACTGTGAATCAAGAGTGGCTTCAATTTCTCACATCTGATGTGGTTTCATCCTGTTTCGCTTGAATCACAGTTTTGATGGGTTGTGAAACTGTGGCATAAATGGTTTCAGGCTTGTTATGTGTCATCTGTATGAATAAAAGGACAAAGAAAAAAGTACAACTAATTAACTTTCAAAGAGTTTACAGTTTCAAAAGTATCACAAACCCTTGTATGGATAACGAAGCTTTTATGTTCAAAAAGCTCTTAAACTGGATCATTGGGCTTTTAGCAATATAGCAATACATTAAATTCAAAATATAAACAAATTTGACTGAGGCAATTTGAGAAATCATTTTGTTAGAACAAAATTGTATTCATAAAAATTACAGAAAACAATTTTACATTTTGAATTTTACGGATCATGCATATACACTCTCAGAAATAAAGGCACAAAGCTGTCACTGGGGTGGTGCCCTCAAGGGTACATCTCAGTACCTTTAGTCAAGAAACATAATTGAACCATAATCCATTGAAATTATATTTTCTAAGTTGTATTGACTCCACACACCCCGTCTCGTCTCCAGGCTTTTTATTTTATTGTTCTGTTTTAAAACATTGGGTTATGGTTACTTTTCCACCGGGAAAAAAAAAAAACGTATTTAAGTTAAACAATTGGGCCTTAAAACCACTGCTGTACCTTTTGAGGGTACATTTACAATGTTTGTACCTTGATGAATGAAAAATATACCTGCACAGCACCTTTTGTTAAACAGTGTACAGTGCTGTGCTAAATTCAGAGCCCACCCTTCATTTATTTGATTTCTGGTCAAAACAGCCACTAAGAACCAAGAAGTTATTCATTCTCAGGAGTTATTTTTCAGGAGATATCCATAAGGAAGGGGAAAGTCAAAGGAAAATAAGTGGGAAAAAAAGATGTGTATATCTATGATATCTGGATACAGAGAAATATACACAGAAAATGGAACTCTAAACAACCGTGCAAGACCTGGTAGACCACCAACACTGTCTCCACCATATAAACAGCACTTAAAGCTTTCATCTGTGAGAGACAGAAGAAAATCAAGCTCCACTCCTACTTCAGATCTGAAAGAGCCACTGGTGGGGTGGCTGGTAGTAGTGGTGGGAGAGTTGAGTCAGCAAATGGAAGGTTACGTGTTCAAATCCTAGAACTGACTGGATATTCCTTAACCCCCCCACTGCTCTGCTGGAGGGGATCAATAAAAGTATAACACAGTCCATTATTCCACTGTGAGAAGACAACTCAGTGCTGTGCGTTTGAAAGGATTTGTACTGAGAAAAAAAAAGACAAAGAAAGCTGCTGGTGTTCTCAGAACAATTCACTGGCCACCCCAGAGTTCAGACCTCATCATTAAATGTGTTTGGGATTACTTGGAGTGTGAGGAGCAGAAGGTCCAACCAAAAACATTGAACTGACAAGTGGAAAAATATTCCTGCAGAAAAACTCAAAGAAAGACTCCTGAAAAGAATGGAGGCTGTAATGAAAGCAAAGAATGGATACACTAAATACTGCAAAACTGATATTTTTCATAAATGTGGTGCTGTAAAATGAATAACTTGTACTTTATGGCATTTTGACTGGAAATTAAAAAAAAATGAAAGGTGGTCTCTAACCTTTACCCAGCACTTGGAATTCACACAGAGTGACAGGGGAGCCAAAAACTCTCCTTGAAACAGCTGCAGTATGCATTCTAAATGCATCTGAAATAATTTACTAAGCCTTTAGCTAATCACACATACGGTGCATACAACTGTGTACTAACTGTGCTGACTAGTGAAGCTCAATAATAAAATTATGGCGTAAAATAGAGGAGCGGTCAACAAGCTTGGGGCTAAAGAGAAAATGCAAGTTCAGTAACAAAGAGGTAGCAGTGTTAATAACAGAGTTGAAGTATTTTCTATTGGTAAATAGTGTTCAGTGCAAAACTGACTACCACTAGTGGCCACTGGCCATCGGTCACCACCCATTTTTGTGCAATCCTCCAGTAAATGTTCATGTGAAAGAAACTGTTGGTGCAAATGAGTCATAGGCTCATATCTATCCTGCACAAAGCAGACAGGTTTTCCACACTGCAGCTCTAATCAGGCCTTTTAGAAAGTGAATAAAAATGATTGCACTAATATTTTCCTCTAGTTTGAACTGTAGTGTTTTTACAGTTCTAACTACATTAAATAACTCCAGCTGCAGCAGAATTATCATTAAAATGTTATGAATGATCTATCAAAAGTCAAATTAAGACCTTTTTTGTACATTTTCACCTCATTTTCAGGAACTGGAGTCTGACTGGACTGTCCATTACTTGGAGGTTGTTGTTTCTTTCCTACAACACGGTACACAGTAGAAGGAGTCTCCAGTGCAAAAGGTGGTGTTGCTGCACTACTGTTCTGTAGATATGATTGAAGATATGGCACAAATTAACTATATAAACCTTAAATCCATGAATCAAATAATTACAGTATTTACTGTCATTAATGTCTAAATGTCTACAGGAATGAGAATTATATAAATCTTACCTCAACTTCTGCATAGATTGTGTCACACTGCGTGGAATCTATGAAGTTTTGAAAAGAAAATGCAAAATTAACCCTTCATAGTAACTGTAGGTACAACCCGTAATTTCCAAAGCTTATTTGTCCAACTACCGTTTTTACCGATGCCCAGTTGGTTAGCTTTTTAGCCATATCTTTAGTCATATCTTGCAAAGGATTTTACAAAGAAATTCTATTTATACATGTGAAAATAGCACTTTTTACTAGAGAACATAGTCAAAATTGAATTTTTACTAGTGAAAATTTAATATTCACCAAATTAAATTAAACAGTTACTTATTACACTTTGTGATTGGTTGTCTGGATCACAACTTACAAAAGATTGGAAACCCCTGATATGGGCTAATTAGTTCAACATCTGTTTTTTTTTTCCTGTTAGTTTCCTGTTTTTAATTTAAGAAGAACAAAGGGAAGCTATATATATATATATATACTAATAATACATTATTTTATGTTCCACCTACTGTTAAAATCTACCCTTGAAGTGGGGTAGGTTACAATAACCAAACTCTTTGTATTTGACACAGACTTGCTTGTTTTGTTATTTGTAATATATATGAAATATATGAAAGGTTTGGCACAAACAACAGCTAGAATTACAGAGGTTGAGACTAACGGTGTTACCCTGTTTTTCCTACCACAGTGAGTAAGTTTGCTGCTTAGTGTTATGACCCCTGGTCGTAATAACTTTGCTGTGTGTCTGTCTGTGACCATATTGTGTGTGTTTCCTCTTTTTGCAATATGCGCCCTCCTGTATAAAAGAGGTCACAAAGCCACTGCCTGGAAGGTGCTCAGATGTGCTCTGGAATTAGCCCGGCACTCTCCACTCCACTCTGCTTTACTTCGCCTGCTCTGTTGTTAAATTCATACAAGCTTTTGTTAGTTTCTGAGAAAATCTTTGAATACATTTGGGAAATTAGGGGACAATTTGAAATTTGCTTTCCTAAATCTTTTCTCCTGTTTTTAAGTAGGGAGTTAGGGTTGCCTTCTGTATTTTTGTTCCTTTTGTTTCCAGGTTAGTTTGTTCTGTAATTGTTCGTTATTGTTTATTAATTTGGCATATGCTCACCCCTGAAGCCATCACCCCATTCCAGCTTAGCCTCTTGCAATTGAGATCTAAATAATCTAAATAATCTAAATAAATCTGATCAGTTTTCTGGTCTGTGCTTGGTCTGGCAGCAGGTCTAGGGAGAGAGCTCTCTCTCATTCTCTGTTATGGCCTGAGACTAGACCAAGTCATGACACTTAGGCTCAATTCATCTATAACAATAGAAAAGACGTCTAATGTACATGCTCACTAAACAATTCTAAACGGTTGCAAATGAACAGTTATACAAATGTGAGGTTTCTCAAGGCTAACTTTTCTGTGACTGGCTGTGTTAACTAACCAGCTAACAGTAACAGCTGCTTTGACAAACAAGTTATGTAACTAAAAAGCTGCTTTTCCGACAAAAAACTGTGAAGAGAGATAACGATAAATGTTTTCACACATGCGGTGGGAATAAAAAGGCAATACCTGTTGATCTCTTTCGGCAGTAATATCTGACTATAAAAGCAACAATAAGAATGACCACTATGCCAACCACGACAGGCACTGTTGAATTTGAGGCTGGGCCAAGGGTTTCTTCACGTTTTCTTCCTAATGGGGGGAAAGATTGTTATTAGTCTTACAACCGAAGTACAGAATGGGTTAAAATAACTGCATGTTTTCGTGTTTATGCATGTGTATACACACTTCCATCAGCATAAAGTCGTTTAAGTTCTCTCATCTCCAAAACTGTCTCCTTCCAGCTGACTGGGTTGCTATGGTTACAGATGATGGTGCTGCCATTGACAGAAAGGGAAAGGGTGACGCCTGCAGGTGATGTCACTTTCTCCTCCTCACAGGTTTCATTATAGCAGCTGGAGTTGATAGAGAGGTCATGACCTCTACAGGTGAGAGTGATGTTACAGGCGTCTCCATTTAGCTGGTGAGTCAGGACTGGAGCCTCCACTGGATCTGAGGTACACATACATATAGATCACTGCAGTGCAGGTAATCACACTGTAAGCCAAACAACAATAAATCACTTGAGTCATTACTAGGAAGTAGTGACTTCAGTATGTGGTTAAAGGGCTGGAATCAAACATGGTTACACAACTAATAATAATAATAATAATAATAATAATAATAATTTTTATTTGGAGGTCGTTTAGTCCTTTTGATTTTGCATTTTTTAATCTTCAATAATGCCATTTTCCTATTTGGAAACGTGTTTGATTTACAAAACTGGAAGTGAACTGGATTTTTGTCTTCATCACTTAGCAAGCAAAACAATTGTTTTTATTGCGTTTAAATGCTATTTTTATCATGTCAGTTGTACAACCCCATTTCTGAAAAAGTTGGGAGATGCAAAATGTAAATAAAAACATAATAATAATGTGCATTGCAATAATGTGCAAATCATTTAAATCAGTTAAATTTAATTGACAGCGGTACAAAGACAACATATCAAATGTTGAAACTGAGAAATTGTTTTGTTTTTTGACAAATATATGCCCATTTTGAATTTGATGCCAGCAACACGTTTCAAAAAAACTTAAGACAGTGGTATGTTTACCTCTGTGTTGTATCACCTCTTCTTTTAGCAACACTCCGTACGCATTCGGGATGCTGTTGCTGCCATGCTTTTGTAATATGTGCAGAGTGTGGTTTGACATTGTCTTGCTGAAACAAGCAAGGTCTTCTGAGAAAGTCATCGCCTGGATGGCAACATATGTTGCTCCAAAATATGCATATATCATTCAGCATTAATGATATATTCACAGATGTGCAAGTCACCCATGCCGTGTGCACTAATGCACCCCTATACAATCATAGAAGTTGACTTTTTTTTAACTGTCTGCTCATAACAAGCTGGATGGTCCTTCTCCAATTTAGCGTGGAGGATGCCTGTTTATATACGGTTTCTTCTTTGCATTTTAGAGTTAGAACTTGCATTTGTGGATGCAGCGATGAACTGTGTTCAGAGACAGTGGTTTAACGAGGCCATGCAGTGATTTCCACTAGAGAATCATACCTGTTTTTAATACAGTGCTGGCTGAGGACCCAAAGATCATGGCTAGCCAATACTGGTTTTTGGCCTACAGAGATTCACTGGATTTTATGAATCTTTTAATGATATTATGTACTAAAGATGATGAAATCCCCAAGTTCTTTGCTTTTATACTTTGGGAAACTTTATTCTTGAATTGTTGCACTATTTGCCCACCTAGTCTTTCACAGAGTCAGGACCCACTGACTGAAAAACCCCTTTTTGCCCCATGTCAATTATTATTATTATTATTATTATTATTATTATTATTATTAAAAATATCACAGATTATTCCCTTCTGCTGATGGAACGGCCATTAGGGAGGCTGCAGAAACAGGTTAATAATACAATATTGCAACTACCAGTGAGTGTTCATGTCACTTATACATGAATATTTTATTTTCTATTATGTTTGGTTTAATTTACAGTAACATTATGAACAGTATTGGAGTCACACAGTACAAAGCAACATGTTACAGTGATTATGTCCTCCAGTAGTGAAGTAGTGTAACATATTACAGTTACTGACTTATTAAGAATTCTTATTCAGTCACTTGCATTACTCATATTACTTATATGCAGTGCATCAGGGATGTGGGAAAGAGTTTTGAGGGTGCTGAAACTTAGTAAGAAGCATGTATGTGAAATAAACTGTGACATCACAAAATGATTAGCCTTTTTCCGTTTGATTTGATCATTTATATCTAACAAAGCATGTCAAAACATGATATAAATGTGGTCAAGAGATGACAATATGCACATATAACAGGCACATCAAACTGCTGATGAACACCCTGCTCACTCTGCGCTCTCTGCTTCTAGATGAGCTTTAAGCAAATGAGCTGAGTGAGCTGAGTTATGCACTGAAATTCAGTACTTGAATGTACACCTAGCATGATATACGCATTAAAACAAATAAATAAATAAAACATTATTATGATTTTGTAGGCATAGAAAACATAGGGCGCTTTGGGGCTCAGAACTGGTCTAAAGCTCTTAATATGCCTTCTCACTTTGCACCTCAACCTGCTTGTATTTTTTGCATCAGTTGGTAAAAAGTGGCTCAACTTTTGAATTTTGAAAATGTATTTAGAAGACATAAAAATACACACTCCACTCTCATACAAGCATAGCATAGATCTTTACTATGTTTAGTTTATTTTCAAATCTTTTTAAAATAATTTTTGGCAGTTGCAGTTAAACAATACTGAAATATGGGGGGCTGCTGCACCTCAGCACCCTCATCTCCCACATCCCTGCAATGCATTAAAAGGATACATTTTGTCTGTACATGTGCTACTTGTGCTAGAAAAACAAGCATGGAATTCAGGATGCGGGTCTGTGCTGTTTTATGCGACATTAGTCTGAACAGATCAGCTCCTAAACTGACCCGCATAGCGCAAAAGAACAATGTGTCATGTTGCTTCACGTGGCTCATCCAGAGGTAAACAATCATGACTGCCAATGAATGCCACTCGCTCCCGGAGCTTTCAGCTTCATCTTCACCAGCATCAAACGAGCCGTCATGAAACTTCTCTGACTCAGCTGGGCTCATCACCCAGAATGTGTCTGAGCTCGCTGTAAAAAGTGCACGTTATTCAACCACGGTCACTTTTTTGGCTTGTGTCCTCGGATTTTTTAAACTTTGCTTTCAGACCTTTTCTTTGACGCTGTTTTACATAAATATCACCCCAAATGTTTATGAAGTCTCAGCAGCGCAAAATGATGATGAATGTCGAGTTGGATTGACATAAAAGCCTCATGAATTCTGATCTGACTGTTCAGACTGAGTTGCATTGCTGCAGATACATATCGAATTTCAGCACCACATATGAAAGCGTGTCAAATTGGAATTGATGTCAGATTTAAAGCGTTTTTTGCTGTTCACACTGACCCACAGATGACACATCTGTGTCACATATGAAGAAAAAAAGGATTTGGGCCACTTTTACCTGCTGTGTAAACATAGCCTTAAACAGCCCTGACTTGATATTCCCTCAGAAACAGCTCTGTAAGCTTTATTTCTTATTCATAAATATTTTATTTTGAGGCGATTGTATTTTAACTCTTCTTATTGGTTGATTTCAAATAGCAAGTTTTCAAACAGGATTTTTTTTAATTATCTTGTACTTTTCAGATCTATATGGGCTTTTGAGAGTAACGTCAAATTATACTAGTAATTAGTGAGATACTTGTAACAGGAAGTAATGAGTAATCGCATTACAGTCTGAGAGAATTATAGATTTGTAATGGGTCTACACCAACAAAGATTATAAATGTACTTTGATTTAACATCACTGGTTAATTTTAAAATAATTGGTCTGCTCTTATTAACAAGACCATAGATCTCAGCAGAGTTATAATACTGTATGCACATTGTTAAATAATGAATAGAAAAATATAAGATTTGACTAATAACAGCAGTGTTGTGTCAGGACTGCATGTTTCCTGTCACTGACTGATTTTCTATAAGACTTACCCAACACAGAGAGTCTGTACTCAGCAACAACTGTGATATTGTCACCTGATGCTTTTGCTTCATACAGTCCACTATCAGTCTTCTGTAAGTTCTTCAGTGTCAGACTGTAGGTTTCCTCTTTGAACTCCACTCTGCCTTCATAAGCAGGATGCTGTCTAGTTTTTTTAATTTCATTATAATGTTTTACAACATTTTTATTTCTGTTAAAAACCCAGGATAAGTCCTCAAACTCCGGTACAGGATGCTGTATGTCTAGTTGAACAGAATCACCAACCAATCTGAGCACATCACTGGACACTGTAAAGAAATAACAAAAATATTAATTTATGTTCTGGTCATTAGGTACCTCCATTGAAATACAATAACACACTAGTTGTGATTTACAAACTAACATAATTCATTTTTAAACATATTTCTCAAGATGAAAAAACACTGATAATGCAGTTTGAATCCATAAAAAGGGACTATTTAGTATTTTTGGTAAAACGTAAACCAAGAATCAAGCAAGTCCATAAAAGTAAGGACACTGCCCCCATACGTTCACTGCCCCAAGAACGTTCATCATTAGACTACTCTGGATAAAGTGTAAACTCATCCAGCTCAAATTCATATTATTACCATATGAACTGTGTCACTTCAGTTTAAAACTGGACAATGTTAAACATGCTTTTGATACTTTTGGTTTTAAGTCAGCCGCAACTATGAACACAGAGAAAACAAATGCTGTTAGCAGCCATGACCTAAACCAAGACATATATTTTTGTTAGGAGAGAGTGGGTAATACAACAAGTAATGTTAACATTTGCCTGTTGTGTCATGTGATAAAATGTTGTCTTTGTGCAAACGCCAACATATTGCTATAAAGTTAAAGGACTACCGCCTAGAATGCAACAGAAAAAAACACTACAGGGGTAAACCTTACAAAATATTTTGTGAAAATATGTAAATTGTCCTCTGTGATGGACTGGCCACCTGTCCAGGGTATGTCCTGCCTTTCGCCCAATGACCGCTGCATCCCCACACAACCCAGAAGGATAAGCGGCTTAGAAAATGTGTGTGTGTGTGTGTGTGTGTTTGTGTGTGTAAATTAAATACTTTTTTTTCGGACAGTGACAAAATATACAATACAAAGGTCACTTCGCAGTCAGACTTTTCACCAGAGGACCCACGCAAGATGTGACAATTCAAACACTGGATATAGAATTAATACTTCTGGCCCCGAGAAATGACTGAATTCATATTGTGTTTTCTGTTTTTAGTTCAGTTGCAGATAAACACAGTCATTACTATCCCATCTGATCTTATTATTTTCTAGGAGAAACTAGAGACATTTTTAGTGCTACATTCTCTTTTTTAAAACTCTTCAAGTGCCATCACAGTGTTACTTTGTTTGGACCAAACCTTGAACTGTTTGCCTTGATTGAATACAGTATGAATTCAGTGATCACAGTTTCCTAATGTGTTTGAATACTCAGCTAATAAAATGGAAAATGTCTGTAGCTCAAGCTTGAATATACTGTAGAAAACTGCTGCACCTAATTTAGCAGAATCTAGCATGAACATAAACTGGAAATCAGTTTGCTAAATTACAAAAACTATATCGGACATAAATCAAAGCCAAAATAAATAATTGAATAAAGGTTATAGAGGCAAACTGTTGATTGAATGAATGTAAATGACAACTGATTCCTATCTGAACAGAATACTTTGAAGGTAAGGACTATCTAAAAGAGCGGTTGCTTCTGGAGATATTTTGATCACAATGGATGACCTTGTGCTCAGCACAGGATATAGGTGAGAGAAGACATTAGGTGTAATGTGGATGTTCTACAAACATTAGTGAAAGAATGGGTCGGTCTCAGGAGCTCAGTGAATTCCAGCGTGGTACTGTGATAGGATGCCACCTGTGCAACAAGTCCAGTGGTGAAACTTCCTCACTACTAAATATTCCACAGTCAAATGTCAGTGGTATTATAACAAAGTGGAAGAGATTGGGAATGACAGCAACTCAGCCATGAAGTGGTCGGCCACGTAAAATGACAGAACGGGGTCAGCGGATGCTGAGGCGCATAGTGCGCAGAGGTCACCAACTTTCTGCAGAGTCAATCGCTACAGACCTCCAAACTTCATGTGGCCTTCAGATTAGCTCAAAAACAGCGTAGAGAGCTTCATGGAATGGGTTTCCATGGCCGAGCAGCTGCATCCAAGCCTTACATCACCAAGTGCAGTGCAAAGCGTTGAATGCAGTGGTGTAAAGCACCACCACTGGACTCTAGAGCAGTGGAGACGTGTTCTCTGGAGTGACGAATCACGATTCTCCATCTGGCAATCCAACGGACAATTCTGGTTTTCAAAAACTCTCATAAACACACTCCTAAACCTTGTGGAAAGCCTTCCCAGAAAAGTTGAAGCTGTTATAGCTGCAAAGCGTGGGCCGACATCATATTAAACCCTATGGATTAAGAATGGGATGTCACAAATTCATATGTGTGTGAAGGCAGATGAGCGAACACTTTTGGCAATATAGTGTGTGTATGTATGTGTGTGTGTGTATGTGTGTGTATATATATATATATGTATATATGTGTGTGTGTGTATATACACGTTTGATTACGATTCAGAGGGGGAACAACCAACTGAAATATATTAACTGTACACAAAATATACACAGAATATACACAGAATATAGAGACAATATACATTTTAAAGTGACTAAATGACTCAGTGTTGTTATTTAAAGTGACTTGGTACTTTTAAAGCAAAGTATTTGTAATGATCCATAATGAATTTACTTCCAATATCTTTTTTAAAAAAACAAATGGAAGTGATGTGGCAAGTGAACTAGACGGCTCTCATTCAGTGCTCTTGTTTGGAGCACGAGAAGCTGCTGCTACTCATCTGCGATAAAATGCGCAGTTACGGTGAAAAAATGTTCACGTTACAGCTATTCTACCCGTTTTCTTTAGTGATTTTATAACTTGGGTTTTGGTCTCGTTGTAGAGACGGGTCACTGTGTCAGTAAAATATCTTTGAGACGGGACGTGTGCAACATAGCGCGAAAGCCGTGTTTCGCAATGATTGAGAACCGCCGTGCAGACTGCAGGTCACCTAGCAACGATGCGTTATTCACATTAATAAGCAGCGCAGTTGGTTTCCTGGTACATAAATCTGCAACGAGAAACTGTCACACACTAAAAAGTGGCGAAGCTGAAGTCAGCTTTTCTTTCTAATTCTCCCGTTCCACCTTAAATGGTGCCGCATTTACATTCGGCGCCTCAGTTAGAATTTAAGGTGGAACAGGAAAATTCAAACAAGAAACTGGAGAATAAGAAGTGACTTCAGCCTCGTAAAACAGTTGAACATTTTACAAGAAACTGATCTACTTTCTGAGGAAAGGTTTTCTGACATTTGTGAATCGATTCAGAATCGTTCACGTCCGCAACGCGATGCATCTAAGAATCGATTTTTTCCCGCACTCCTAATATACATATACATATATTTTAAATATATATATATATTTGTAGTAGTATAGTTTGTTGTAGTAGTATAGTTTTGATGGAATAAGTTTATTTTGAGATGTTTCTGTGGTGTTTTAATAGCTGCAGAGCATTTAGAATAAAATGAACTTGTGCTGAGCTGCATGTTTCTGCAGAGAGGAGTGTAAAGAGTGAACTTAACCCTGAAAAATGCTTCTTATCGATTGTAAATAACTGTATGGAGAGCTGTTTTTTTATATGACAGGGTAGATATTGTGTGTGATGGAGAAGTCCTTTGCCCTCCTCAAGCCCACAGACAGAATGCTGAGGCACAATAAAGCCACACAGTTATGAATTGATATAAATAATTTATTTTTTCTATAGGACTTTAGGATAAGATGTTTGATTTCTTTAACTTTTCCTCTCAAAAACTAATTTGTGTCTCCATAAATAAAAGTTAAGAACTTGGATGTAAGTCTATTTTTTTTTTTGTTCCTGCAGTGCTCAGTTTTTACAAGAATTTAACTTATATGTAACTGGACGCACTTCGGGCTCAGCCAGACCCTGGGGGTGGGCCCACTGACAGTATGTACTTTCTTCAGTTAGAGCCCATGTCCTCCAGTGGGGGTACTCCTCCCCTTTTGCTAGACACCTGGGGGAAACCCGTACACTGGAGTTGCTTAAAAGACACTTTTGGTGACCCAACATGAAGAAGGACATACAAGCCTATGCATATAATAACACTTACAGTAGACTGGGGCAGATCTAGCAGGGCAGAAATTTCACAAACTGACTTGTCGCAAAGGTGGCATCCTATGACAGTGTCACATCTCCTGCTCAACACTGGGAAGGATGGCCTTGAAAAAAGACAGGAGGCAATACCTCTCCTTTAGTTTGATATGCTGTTGATGGGTTGCACTCGCTATATTCATACTAGGGCCGGCATTCTGCAATATTGTGGATCGCAAGGCAGATAAAGAGATTGGGTACAAGTGCGATTGTCTTTTAATGCTATCACTTTCAGGGTAGTCAAAAAAGCAAGCAGGAGTGGAAAGGGCAGGGGAATCCATAGTAGATACAAGACTAAATAGTAAACAAGAAATAATCTTACAAGATACTAAGATAAAAAAACAAACAAACCAAACAAATCATGAGACAATCATCAGCAATGCTGACCAAAGAACAAAAGAAACAAAGGGTGCAAATACACACACTAATAACAAGAGACACTTGAAAACAGTAAAAGAGGGTGGGGCAACAAACTAAACACAGGTGGGTAACAGACCACTGTAGTCGTGTGTCATTCTGTAGTCCTCGTTATGCCCATATTAGGAACTCTGGATCTAAGCTCCATTTCTCTATGGCCAGAATGAATTGAGTTTCGCCCCCTGTGTTAAATAAAAATGTTTAGAACCCGATACATTTTTTTCCTGTGTACATTTTTCTCCCAAATACCATTGAATGCTCTCAATTACAAGGTTGTTAAAGAGCCTTAATACTAATATTGCTACATGTGAGCTAAAGCTACAGCGCATCAATTTGACATGAAACTAAGGCGGGCTGTGGCGGTGCTCTGACGAGTTGTGCTCCCCTATCAAAATGTTCTACCGTAGCGTATATTTACGGGTATACCCGTGAATAAAACCTCTTGGTAGGATATTTTGATAGGCTAAAACTCTTTCATTGAGGACTTAAGCTTCTTTTTCACCAGCTTCTTGTTTGAATGTTCTCATTCCACTTTAAATGGTGCAGTAGCTGTGACTAGCTCTCACAAACATTAGTAAACAAGACAAAATACTGACCTGTTGGTTCTGTGAAACAGCAAAAATAAGTTTACTCAACTGTTAAGCGGAAATAGAGAAACTATTTAAAGAAACTAGAGGAATTATGCCTTTCAACCCTCCATGAAGCTGAAGTCAGCTTCTTTTTCACCAGCTGCTTGTTTGAATTTTCCCATTCCACCTTAAATGGCGGAACAGTTCAGAATGTAACTGCTGCCCCATTTAGGGTGGAACAGAAAATCTCGAAGAAAAAGCTGGCGAATGTCCGGAGAAAGTGTCCTCAGAAAATGTTACCAGCATTGAAACAATCATTTTTGAGATTTAAGCTGAGTCTGTACTGAATTAGCCTGAGTACAGGTAAGTTTCTACAGCTTTTCAAATCAAGCTATGAACAGAACAGAAAGATCTATCGTGTTTCAGTGGGTATCAGACGATGAACAGAGAAGGGAAGCCTGCTTATTTTGTTCTGACTTCTTATCATCTGCCCTCAGTCTGTACATGGAAATGTCCACTGACGAAGCCTGCTTAAGGAGGCTGCCAGTCTAATGACGTGAATTCAGTGCGCAGTAGCTTTAACTTACATGTAGCAATATTCATATTTCAGCTCTTTAATAACCTCGTAATTCAGAGGATCCAGTGATATTCGAGAGAAGAATGTTCACAGGACAAAATGAGAAATGGAGCTTAGACCCGGCATGGACAACAATCTAGACTACAGAAGAGTCAAACAAGGGGAAAGATGGACTTGGAAGTCCCTGACAATTATTACTACAGCTAACATTGCTGCTGGTGAGATATAGCCTCTGTGCTGTTTTGAAAATGTGCTTATGGACTGGGCAAAACCAGGAATTAATTGGGAATTAACTTTTTATTTTGTAATGTTTCTGTCTAAAACAAAATAAACTTGATTGTGCAAGAAGCTACTGCACTGCCTATCTGTTAAAAGCTATAAAGGAGTGGATTGCAAGCAGTGCTGCAGTGAACACTTCTGGTTGAAACTTTTTGTGGAAACACTGAAAATGAAGTGTCAGATTCAGAAATAAATGTTTTTTTACACATACTCTCTTCCTCTGTTAGCATATGGCAACTACAAACACTTTGTTTTGCCCAACACTCAGCTTTATTTTACTTTTACTTGTCCTTCTCTTACTTAAAAGGAAAAACTGACCATATTCATAAGTGTGTGTGTGTGTGTGTGTGTGTGTATGTATATATATATATATATATATATATATATATATAAAACCAGAACTTTCTATTTTTGTAATAAATATATAATGAATAAAACGTTTGTGTGCTTTTCCCTGCATTGTCTAATAGTTTAAGCTATTTTCACTACAGTACAGCCAGTGTTATTATCCAGTGTTCCAATAAAGCCAACAGTATGATCACAGTATTAATTACAACAGCATTAAACAGTTTAGCAAGTAGAACTACACAAGGTAGTAGCATGCACTTAAGTTTTAAGTCTGCAAAAGTGGCAGTGATCCAATGTCTGTTTCAGTGTGAAACTAGTTTCATAACTAGTTAACCACAATGGAAAGCACCATCATGGTTGGAATAACAAGATTTGTAAAATGCATGAAATTACATTCACTCATACCCATAGAGTAAAAATAATGTTAAAACAAGCAAACCGAAACTAACGGGAAAGGATCTGTAGATGACATAACTAGCAAAACCGCAAGGAATGCTGGAACACTTTGCCCTCAGTGCTACAATATTCAGATTGTAGGATCAGAAAATCCAGAGTCACTTCACTGACTCAAAAAATCCCAGGTGCTTGTGGCAAGATATCCAGTTCATCACAGACTACAGGTCCCCCCACTGCCCTGTGATGACAACACTGACTTCCTCAACACACTCAATAACTACTTCAGCCGGTTTGAGGAATAGAACACTACCACAGTAATGAAAGCCTATAAAATACAGATATTTGAGAAAGTAGATTTATAAGTATTGATTTAGAGATTCATTTGGCCAAAATATTACATTTTGGAGTGTTATAAGACACATAAGACGTGATCGCAAGTATTCTGCATGTGGTTTCCAATGTAAAGCACTGAGAAACCAGTGAACTGGTCATTACAAAAGTCCATGAGAATCTTATGACCTAACCTGGCCAGTTTCCTGACCTTAGCATCATACAACTTAAAGGATAAACTGTAAAAATAAGCACAAAAGTCAGGTGACACATGTCAGGTGATTTCCCATTAAAACATTTGAAATGCCTCATGCTTGAGGAACTGTTGTCAATTTTGAGGAAGCCAATATTTAGAGACAATTTTTCATTTCTGTCAACATTTTCTTAAGATGCCTTGCATTATTATATAGTATATTGTTTGTTAATTCAGTAAGCTTTGCATTTCAAGTGTTCACAGAAATCAGTGTAAAAAGTTCAGTTATAAAGAAAAACATTCTTCAGCTAGTCTAATAAAGCAAATATCAAAAAGTCTGTCCATCACTATCTATCACTGAAAAGTCTATCTGTCACAGTCAACAAAGTCCACATGACTTCATAATCTATATTTTAAGTGTACATTGACCTTAATCATGACAGTAGCAAGGTTAAGTGATAGTGATAGTGATGATTTCTTCATCTATGATGTAAAAATGGTTAAGATGATTACTGGATATAATGCAGTTGAACCTCTATAATATGAAAGGCAGTAATGAAGTTTAGAATTTTTTTTTTTACCTGTGGCCGAGACCAAACTGAAGACAACAAAAAACAGCTGCACCATCATCGCCATTGTGTGAGGAAGTTTCTAAGGAACTAAGGAAGTTCAAACTGATGAAGTAAGCAAGGCTAAAACCCCCTATAGTTAACTACATATGAAAGCAGGTAACAAATGAAGAAAAATGAACAAGACAGTAAATAATATAAAGTCAGCTTGAGCATATTTTCTACAAAGTACAACAAAAAGGACAAATAAATGAAAACACACGCACACTGGTATCACCATACTTGTGAGGATCTCGATAGACTTCTGTTTTATTGTAGCCAAGTAATACTTCAAATAAACCTAACCTTAACCTCCATAATCAAAAGATTTGGAGAACTGTTTTTACTGTATTTATCTGATCTCATATGGTTTGCTTGGCCACTTATATGCTTAAGATAAGCTGCTTTCATATGCTTCCACTATCTAAATCCACACGTCACAGTCCTCTCCTGACAGCCTTCCTGCTAATGCAATAACCAAACCAAAAATGAGAAGTGAAAGAGCTCATCAGCTCTTTTACGCAAACACTGGGAACCAACTCACATTGTTTTCAAGCCTGTTTCCAACTGTGTTTTCATTTTTCTCATGTCCAATCTTGGCATTCCAGTCTCCCACCACCAGCAGTATAACCCTGTATAACTGTAATGAATGGCTGTGCATGAAATCACAGCATTTTATCCAACAACAGTCTTGTTGACATCCTTACTGACAATGAAAGCCACTCTGTTTTAAACAGTTGCATGAGGATGTAATTCTGACCCCACCCCAACTGTCCCCACTCAAGCCACAGCTTACAAATTATCTCATATTACGAATTAAACTGGAAACTGTTTACTACACAAATAAAGGCTTACTACACAGACAAATCCAGACCTGACATGTTTAAAGTTGTTTTTTGGCTTTTGAAATGGTTAACAAATAGCCTCCAGTCTCTCAGGCTATCATGTCCCTCAGGCACATCTGACAGTATCTGGAGCTTTACATTCAAAATATACACAGCACACAGGAAATGCTGACTAAAGAACTAAAACTTCAAGGTAAGGGCAGATTGTTAAACTGTTCGATAGCATTGGTGGCGAAGCAGTGATTGGAGGACTAAATTACACACAAGACTTATATGAGAATCAGATTGGCCTGTCAAAGAAAGAATGGTGGATTAAGTGTAGAGACTGAATTTACTTTAGGTGCCGTAGAAAACAAAAACTGATCCCTGCAGTCAGAGATGGATTACATATATATATGTAATCCATCTCTGACTGCAGGGATATATATATATATATATATATATATATATATAATATATATATATATATATATATATATATATATGATATATATAATCCAATTTGCAAAAACGTTGGGATGCTGTAAATAAAAACAAAATGCAATGATGTGCAAATGATTTAAATCCTATATTACATTGAAAATGCTTCAAAGAAAACATATCAAATGTTAAAACTGAGAAACTTTGTTTTTTGAAAAATATATGCCCATTTTGGAACAATTTAAGAATAACATTTCTCAATGTAAAACAGCAAAGAACTTTTGCCTTTCATCATTGACAGTACATAATATCATTAAAAGATTCAGAGAATTAAGAGAAATGTCTGTATGCAAGGGACAAGGCCAAAAACCAGTATTTGCTGGCCGTGATCTTTGGGCCCTCAGGCGGCACTGCATTAAAATCATACACGATTCTGTAGAAGAAATCGCTGCATGGGCTGTAGTAACACTTCTGAAAAACACTGTCTGTGAGAACAGTTCAGTGCTGCATCCACAAATGCAAGTTAAAACTCTTAAAAAAGAAGAAAGCATATATAAACAGGATCCAGAAATGCTGCCACCTTTTCTGGGCCCGAGTTCATTTAAAATTGGAGGGAAAGTGGAAGTGATCCTGTGGTCCGACGAATCAACATTTGAATTTCTTTTTGGAAATGATGTACACCGTGTCCTCTGGGACTAAAGACCACTTAGCTTGTTATCAGTGCACAGTTCAAATTTCAGTATTCATGATGGTATAGGGGTGCATTAGTACGCATGGCATAGGTGACTTATTAACAGCCTCACTATTTTTTACTACTTCCAGCTTATTGTGATTCATACTCTGAACATTCAAGGTTCCAGCTCTGAAGTCTGTTACTCAACTAGATGTCCAGAAGGCTTTAGATGTACTCTGAGATGGGAGGAATCCATAGGTCTTCCTCAATCATGAGTTCCTTCTGACCTCAGCAGCACTATCTTGATGAACATTCTGTTGTGTCTATCCATGTGGTTCTCTTGGAAAAGTACAGAAGTGGTTTACCATTGCCTTCTTCGTCTCAGTTGAACAGATGTCTTTGCCTTGAGCTGCTATGGACTCAAACCCCACATCCTCATTTCTTTGAAATTCTTGTACTTCTTGTAAATGTACTTCCCAAATCATAATAGACTTGCTAAATAAGCACCATTAGATAGCAGATAAGGTAGTATCCATGGGTGGACAGTCTTTAGGGAAGTTTGAAATTAGAACTTGTATCTGAAATCTGTCCCTGGCTGCCCACAAACAGGTTGTACTTCTCTATAATATACATAAAAGATCAGTTCCACAAATATACTATTTACTCTAAGCTATTCCACCCCAAAACGACAAGCCAGGTATACTTAAACTATATGTGAAAGGCAAGAAAACTTTTACTTTTCTTAAGATTATCTCAATCATAAGATTAAGTACAGGCATAGGCCAAATTTACTTAAACTTTTACTTTTCTTAAGATTATCTCAAGCATAAGATTAAGTACAGGCAGAGGCCAGATTTACTTAAACTTTTACTTTTCTTAAGATTATCTCAATCATAAGATTAAGTACAGGCAGAGGCCAGATTTACTTAAACTTTTACTTTTCTTAAGATTATCTCAATCATAAGATTAAGTACAGGCAGAGGCCAGATTTACTTAAACTTTTACTTTTCTTAAGATTATCTCAATCATAAGATTAAGTACAGGCAGAGGCCAGATTTACTTAAACTTTTCTGTATACTTCTCAGTAGCCAAGTATACTTGTGGATAAGATGTGAATAAAGTCATTCAGAGAGGTTTAGTGTGAATCATTTCAGATTTTCCACTATTTTCCATCATCAACTTTCCATTTAAAATATCAGAAGACACGTGTAAGTTCACTGGTGGTTTTGGATGGTAAATAAAATGGCTATATTTGTGTTGTAGTGATGGCGACCCCTGGTTCCTATCACCACCACTGTAAAGAAAGTATAATTTAGTTTAGTATATCTCTGATAAGTAGCTAAAACGTAAAGCATGCTTACTTAATTTTTAGTTTAAAAGAAGTATACTAATAGCACACTTTAATAAACTTCTTTTTTGCAGGGGTGGTATCTATTTAGCTAGGATTAGCTAGCTAGGCAGCTGCTTTCTCAGGCTGAAGCTGAGTTGTGAAAAGCAGAGCTCTCAGGTGGATTCAGGAGGCAGATTTAGCAGCTGATAATTACGCCATTTTCTTTAGTCCATTTGAAAATAATTGAAGATGACTGGATAAAGTCAAGTCAAGTCAAAGTTTATTTATATAGCGCTTTTTACAACAGGTGTTGTCACAAAGCAGCTTTACAGAAAAATCCGGGTCCAAGCCCCCATGAGCGTCGCCAATGGCAACAGCGGCAAGGAAAAACTCCCCAAGAGCAAGAGGAAGAAACCTGGAGAGGAGCCAAGACTCAAAAGGGGAACCCATCCTCCTCTGGTCGACACCAGATAGCAAATAGCGTTAGTATAAAATATTAGAATACAAAGCGGGGAAAAACAGATGAAGCGATGGTTGATTAGATAGTTTGAGTTCATGCAGCAACAGCAGCATCAGGAGGGTCAGTTCATGCAGGTGAGGTTTGCACAGCTTTGTACAGCGTGAAGCTCCATGGTGATCAAAACCATGCAGATCAGCCAATGGAGATGGAGCTCTGGTGGCTCCCATTTGGCGACTCAGACAAACGTTGCTCAGGGGCTCAAATAAAGGGAGGGAGAGCGAGAGAGAGAGATTAACAGGATAGGTCAGTTCATGGAGAGATAAACTGAGAAAAAATAGTGCAAACAATGGATATTAGCAAAATGCTTGTGCAAACAGACACGTTTTGAGTCTAGTTTAAATGTAGACAGTGTGTCTGAGTCCTGATCAGAGGTCGGGAGATGATTCCACAACTGCGGGGCTACGCAGGAAATTGCTCAACCAACTGCTGTGGTTTTTCTAATTCTAGAAACTGTCAGTAAGTGAGCGGAGCGTACGTGTGGGTTCATATGACTGAATGAATTCACTAAGATACTGTGTGGCCATTTCATGATTTATACGTTGAGAGATGGATCTTATACTCTACACGAAATTTAACAGGTAGCCAGTGTAATGACGACAGAAGTGTGTTCCTTGCGCATGCTGCTAACATTCTCTTCTCCTCTCCTCTAAACTCACCGTCTCTGAACTTCTGTAGTGTTTTTACGGCTGGGAGCTGCTCTGTGTTGCTCTGATTGGTTTTCAGAACTGAATGGATTGAATTTAACTGGGCTTTCTTCTAATCGGTTTATGAGCTGATATGGTCATAATATATTTTTACTCTGTTATGTTATTAAAAATGAAAGTAGGAAGGAAAAAGTATTTCATTAAAAATGAACTCAAATGAAAGTACTATGATTTAATTTTGCTCAAAAATACCAGCACTGGGAAAAATATACTCAACTACACCAACGAAAATAAATGTACTTTTTCACCTTGTTAGTATCAAACCAGAATCAGCATGTTTTCAAACCCAGATAGCAAACATATAGTGGTCCACTGACTTAGTAAGGTCAGCACCCTGCTGACTATAGACCACTGCTAGTCCACTGTCAGATCACCCAGATTACTGTCCTCCAGACAAGACTAGTATTTAACCTCCTCTAACAGATATTAAACGCACACAGTATTTCATTGAAAATAAACTAAGACAAATATTACAAAGTACTGAAGGAAAATAAATAAATAATGACTAGGCCTCATATAAAAAGACACTGTTTTGCTGACACTGTATGATCACAGCTGTATAGCTGGCTTTATTTATGATATTGCTGTTAAAATTATTTACTAAATTAATTCACAAAGTATAAGAAAAAATGGAAATTTGTCTAATACTCTGTTTGACCACTAGTGGGCTGCTCAGAAAGCGCTGAGCAAAAGCCAGTGGGCCACCAGCTTTGCCATCAGCAGGCCAACAATGGCTCACTATCCTCCTGCTATCTGGGAATGGATGCCTTCAAGGTGAGCTGGTGCTGAGGCTACACTTACCTAAAACCCCATCCTTCCTGTACAGCCCGCTAGTTCAGACAAGCATAGTTTCTCAATGCTGAAACTGACTCTAGAATCAGCTCTACAGTGCTGTCTGACACTGTATAACACTGTGCAAGCCTAACCTAAACACCACTGACCCTC